ATCTCTGCCTCCAACTCCGCTCGCTCTGCCTACGTGGAACGATCTTGCAATGCAGCAACACTGCTCTTCGTGCTTCTGTCAGCCTCCAATATCAACCGTGTAGCTTTCACCTTTGTTCCGGCCCGAGCATTAGGCGTTCTGAACTTAGTGGAAATTGGTCTACGCTCATGCTCTTCGGTCATTGTGATCTCCTGAAGCTTTCTTCTCTTCCGTGGTCGATCTTTTTATCTGTCTTTGGGTTCATCGGTTCTTCCCTGAGGCAAATCAATCTGCTCATTTTTTAGTCGGTATCAACTTTGTTGTCACTCAGAATCTCTTCTCCATCCTGCACATGAGTTCGCAGCGACAACTTCTTCTTCTCTACATCCGTCAACAACCCCATCACCTTGTAGAAATTAATCAAAAACGGGAATATATAATTGGCCGATCCTCCAGTAAGTACACCAATGTGTAGACGAGTGGCAGTTCAAAATATTCGCGCTCAATGAACTCAGTCCCCTCGCAGTGCTCGCTCCACAAATCCAACCTGCCAAATCATCATATACGTTGTCCGGGAAGGTCAAAGAATTTGCATCAACGCCATTGCCACATTCCTCTTGAAACGATCGTGATACCCTATGGTTCGATATCCATTCTTGCCGGTGCACGGGTTCTTGAATAATGCCGCATACGACTTCTCTTCAGCTCGCGTTACCTTGACACTCTCACTGTTGAAGGTAAGGTCGCCGTCAGCGCATGCGCATCTTCCCAAGACTTTTGCCCAATCCCAGATTCGTCAAATTTTGGGATTTTCTCAATAGTCCGGTGACTTCGGAGTGTTCTTATCGTCCCATTCCTATACCATCGTTGCACGTACCCAATTTCAGTCCCAGAGCAAGAAATCGAGTTTCGCGAGAATCAATTTACCACGATACGCTCGCAATTCCGCCTCCGGAACTCTCAGTGCGGTCAATCGAATTGCGCCCGGTTGCCCCATAGCTGCTTCCGTCAGTTCAAGCCTCAGCACCACAATCTTTTGACAATTTGCAATAGTGTGATTGTGAAATGTGAGAGCCAGACTCGCATCCTCGCGGGTGTAACCCGCTATCGCAACGGTGAAATCAACTCGTGCGAATTGAAGGTGACGCCATTCAAATTTCTTTCCCGTGCGGTGCTATCTTGTACTTCACTGGGATCCTTCACTAGAAGTACTTTGGAGGTTACTCGGAAGACCTCGTCGCCAAATACCGAATACCCTTTTCCGAAGGACAATCTAGGTCTTCGGATAACCTGGGTCTTCGCCCCCGTCGTTCCGTAGCTCAAGTCCCACTAGTCCGTTCCTTCGGCTTGGATCTCATCGGAACCAACAGGCCAAGTTCTACCTAGGGCGATTCTTCGTATTTTCTACTCCTACTTAGCATCTACACTAAAAGTTCTTATTCTCTTCTCTTCTACCTACTATTACCTCAAAAGTTAAAACTTACGTGGATTTTACTTCCTAACTACCTTTATTTCAAAAAAATAAAAAAATTGCACTACCACAATTTGTGAATCAAGTAGAAAAAAACCAGTTTTGATTCTTTGATAGCGAAGATTTAATTTAAAACAAAGCCCTTTTTTCTAATCTTGGAGATCAAACTTTCCATATTTTAGTTAAAACTTCAAGCAATCAAATCTTTCCGGATTGTGGATAAGACTCATTTATTTAAATCAAAAAAATGTGTTTGATGTTTTTACGTGCTTGGTGTGAAGCATAATTTGATGTATGTTAGAGCCTCATTAACTTAGGCCATTTAGCATTTTCAAAATCAAAGATTTGTTTCATATTTGATAGAGAAAATTTGATTTAGAATAGCAGGACTCACATAATGATCTATACAAACTATCTAAGACAAGAGGTTTTTTGCTAGCCATCATTGCATCGTTTTGTTCAAAATGGCTTTTTTTATTTCACAATATTTTGAAATATAAATGGGCATGAGCTAGATCTTCAGACTTGTTAAGTATCTTAGACCAAGCTCTAGCATTATAGTATGTATCATGCCAAGTATCAGAAGCTATTCTTGGTCTTGCAGTATCCAGATATATTGTTTGTAAATTGTCAAACCTCTCTCATTCGTTGCTCTTCCAACTTGTAGTGCTTTCATGATCTCTTCATACTCCTTTGTGGCATGTCTCATCTTGCTTCTTTAATAGGCTTAAATCTTCACTTTCACAACATGATTAAGATATGATATGCATGTGGAATCATTTGCAAGTTGTTTTTTACCTCCATGTACAAAATTTTCATGTTAAAGTGTTGTTATTATTCTATCCATTGATACTATCATTTTGATAAATCTTTTGGAGTTTGTAATCAAATCAATGATTTATGATCAATCTTAACCACAAATTTCTAAACATTCAATTAATGCTTTTAGTGTTTTGTTACTAACACATTTACTAATTCCTCTCGTTATATTGTGAAGTAATTATGTTCCGTTGTCAATAACTTGCAAGAAAAAAAAAACAAGTAGATGTCATGCATACTCTCATTCTTGTTGTAGTATAACATACCTTGTTGTAGTATGATATACCTTGTTGTACATGATCTATCAGTAGCCAATTTAATAAATCTATTAAGATCGTACCACTTGAGTATAATTGAGTATAACAAAACATCTTTCAAGGTATTCGGAACTAATTTTTGAGCTGTTTTTATCTCCATAATTTACCTTTACCTAGCATAGATGACAAAGTTTAAGCTAAACAAACAAAACCTTTCACAAATCTAGTTAAAAACCTATGATTTCTTGAAAGTTCTTAACTTAAGTTTGATACTAAAGTGTTATTTATTTTAATTAATCTATCTTTTCACTCATCACTTAGATTACTTGTGCTATAATTCTATGATCCAAGTAATATATCTCTTGCTTGTCAAACTCACATTTTGAACTTTTGAGCTATAATTCATTTGTCTCTCAAAATTTGGATAAAATCTTGTGAATGATGCTTATAATCATTCAAGCTTTTGTTATATACTAAAAAATAGCATCTAGAATAACAATAAATTTTTTTTAGATACAAGCAAAAAATAGTGTTCATCAATGTCATGAATGTAGCAAGTGAATTAGTGAGATCAAAAGACATTCCTAGATATTGAAAAGTCATCATATTTAATCTAAAAAGAAATTCTCTATACAATTTCATTTGAAATTCAAATTTGATTGTAGCCGTTCTTTAGATTCAATTTTGTGAAGTACTTTGCTCCTTGAAATTGATCAAACAAGTCATTTATATGGAGTAATGATTTGTTTTTCACCGTTTTTTTAATTTCATCCATGCCTAACATCTCTTTCATTTGAACTTTGTATTCTTTCCATTCGTTTCAAACTAAACAATATAAAACTTTGAAAGTTTGAGTATATCAAGGTTTAACTCAATTTTGTGATCTATACAACTCTTTGGTGATAATACTGTAAGTAAATTATAAAGAAATACATCTTTATATTACATAGAAACAATATAAAACTTTGCAAGTTTGAGTATATCAAGGTTTAACTCAATTTTGTGATCTATACAACTCTTTGGTGATAATACTGTAAGTAAATTATTAAGAAATACATCTTTATATTACATAGAAACATTATTTGAAGAATCCTGAATGTAAAGTTTGTCATTGGATCCACCCGTGTTTCAAGAAATATACATCATTTCTAGAAAGTAATGTTTTACTCACCACAAAAAGATATAAAATTTTATTAAAATTTCAATTTTTTCTTTTTCCAGTGATTGCTTTTTATCAATTATCTTCTCTAATGTATTTCCGAATTATATTTCTCTATTATTGGTTTAACTCAATGATATGTTATTACTTATCTATGACTTTGACTATAGTAACTTTCCTCGCTATGTAAATGTTTATTACCATGTTACTTGATTCTACATATATATATTCTAATATATTCTACTTATTCAACACATTTTCCCCATCGTGCTAGTCACATGCTTGCATTTGGTATGTGCTAATACTCTTAACTATTACTTTTTTAAAGGCATTGAGTTGTCTTGGAACACGGAATCCATTGCAACTCCCTCACTTCCAACCTTGACGATCATTATTGTTTCTAAACCGCGGACTACTTCGGAATACTAACTGTGGAGTTGCCCCAGAGAAAGGAAATTCAGCTCAAAATGTTTTTATCACGTATGTTTCTCTGTCCAAGCGCATAGATGGTCCAACTCCAAGTGGTCCATTTTTCCTCCACATTCATCACAGTCACTGATCCTGTCAGCCGCATGCTCTCACTCGTCTATTATTGCAGAATTTGTATTTCCTCTTAGCACACAGCTGGACAGTAGCTCACATTCAAGAGCTTCCTCTGCAATAAGGTAACAATGGCTGAATGTGCCCCTGGTTAATAGGCCTGAGTCAAATGTCCATGCTTTTACAGCTTTTATTCCCATGTTGGGGTTATTCTTTCTGCTTGTAGCTTAGAAACACCGGAATCATTGTGAAATTGATATATCTCCATGTGATGGTTTTGCCATCTCATACTTACAGATAAGCAAAACTTAAACATTCATTTCCATCAAGCAGAAGATATATGCTAACAAAGTATATACTAGCTAGACGCACAGCGAAGACCATGATTGCATCAAAATTTCCTCTTCTTATTGTGGTCATCACGAAATAGCTACAATATTCTTCACTAATTCAGGGTGCATGCTCTTTATTTGACCGACAATCGCCTTTGAACCTGAGGATCTTTCAGTGGGTGTAAATCAGTATCATGCAGTCATCCGTTTCACGGCATTCATTGTACTGGTAAAGGATAGGTCGTTATGTTGGTTACTTCAAATCTTGTACCCATATATATATATATATATATATATATATGACACCTGAAACCCTTGGTTTCGATTACCGTGTGAAGTTGGCAAAGCTACTAGTATCCCTGATATTACAAACTCATCTTAAATCTCGGACGAATGTTTAGAGCACATTCACTCTTCTTGAATCTCAATGAACTTGTATCAAAGAACTTGGCTATTAAGATTTTGATCGACCACTGCTTCTCATCTAGTATTAGAAAATCGTCAAACACTATGCACATGAGCAATCTACCAACAATCAGGATTTATCAGTCTCAGAGATACTACAAGATTCCAGTCACCGAACAGTATGTGAAGTTTGGAAATCCGCGGCCATAGGAGGAGGTGAGATGCAGCTCCAATCAGTATGGGCCTGTGAAAATAGGTGGACACGACCTGACTACCACTGGTGGGGGAGGAGGAGAAAAGCTTCTCTTGTGAAGTGGAATTGGATGTGTGGGGAACACAACAGGAGGTGGATGTGGTGACTCTGCAGCATCAGATTTCATGACAGCAACGGGAGATTTAGGAGGAGGACGGGTGTAGCTGGTGTCTGATGCTTCACGTCCGCTGCAGGCTTGTAAGAATTGCGTCGGTTGTTCCACTTCGAGGCGCAGTCGCTTCCTTCCTCTTGCTTCCTCTTTCCATCTCTGCTTGTAAGAATTGCGTCCTTTGTTCCACTTCGAGGCGCAGTCGCTTCCTTCCTCTTGCTTCCTCTTTCCATCTCTGCTACGTTGATGTCGGCCGTCTTTGTCATGATCCCCGAGATGTCTATCAGCATCACTTCTGTATTTGTGGTCGTCGTCGTGGTCATGCTTCTCGTCCTTGCCGTGGTACTCCTTGCTGTTCTTCTTATAGTGCTCATCGTTGTGCTATAACTTGGGGTTGCGCTTACAGGCGCTTACAGTCGCGTTTTCTCCAGCTGAGCACCTCACCCTCCCAGTGATAACAAGTAGCGTCAGATCTCGCCGATGTAGACCTACTGATATGTACATTCTGGAAGCACCCCATGTTTTGAATTGCTGTTCCCTCATGAGTGACCTCAGGGTTGCGCTTGCCACAAAGGCAGCGGGAGGCCACACTGGTGACTGCGATGCAAAGATGACTTTAATAACAGGGCTACTATATTCCTGAGATCCATTGTAGTCTGCAACGTGCTATTACGGTTTGACTAATTACACACAAAACATGTCACGAAACGAAACACAAACATGAAACGAAACGAAACCATCCTGGCAACCCCAACTGCTGGACCAAGTAAACTTTTTGGAGGAAAAGAAGCGCCCGGGACAGACTGAGCAGTCAAGTAGTACCCCCAATCCCTCAACCGGGGAATATCTTAATAATCTTCGTTAACGAGGATTATTGAGATATCTGTCCCGTGCGCTTCTTTTCTTCCAAATTGTTTACTTGGTCCAGCAGTTCCTGAACTTCATCTTGCAACTCCAAGATTCTTGTCTGCGTCAACGAGATGGCGCCCGAACATCCGTAAACCGGATCCTTCATTCTCGCCTCGGCCTCGAAAGCCAACGAGGTCACCGCATCTGCTCGGCTCGATTCTGGCAAGTCCTGCAATATCTTGGTGACATTGCTGGCCCCGAAAATTCTATGCACATTCGCAAACTTCAAAGGCTGATCTGCAGGAAAGTAAGGTGCGAATACGCACTCGGCCGTGCACTTCCGTCGTAGAAATTTACATGCTGCGCAAGGCGAGCTCGAAGAGCTCGCTCCGCTAGTGTGGGACATCGTGCGAACTGGCGATACCTCGCGTGCTGGTCGACAATCTGAGGTATATTGTGACCATTGTAAACTATATGTGAAATCAAAATGCGGTCGAACTCCCCAAATTTGGGTACCAGAACAGTCCGAACTTTGTTTCCGAGCCGCGTTAGAGTCATCAAGGGAGCAGTGGTGAGCATCTTCACATCTGTTCGTTGCACCGACATGTTTTCTAGGATGTTACAGATTTTAGAAAATAACCGATAACGGTGAAGAGAACTAATCTGGGTCCAACGACAATTTACAGATTTTAGAATATAACCGATAAATGCGAAGAGAACTAATCTGGGTCCAACGACAATTTACAGATTTTAGAATATAACCGAAAAATGTGAAGAGAACTAATCTGGGTCCAACGACACTGCACTTCCAACGCATCTTGAGCGACGTGGCTCAAGTCGGCGGCTGTGTATACCAAAAACAAACGGGGAAAATCTCCAAGCTGCGCGACGTGGCTCCCGTCGAAGGCTAACACTACAAGAACTTTCGAAGCCAGCATTAGCAACGCTTCTCGGAGCTTCGACCGACACTCCTGCGAATCCAAGTAACGGGGCGGAGATGTGAAGAAAATCTTCATATATCCGCTACGTGAAGAAAATCTTCACGTGTACATGCACGTGAAGATTTTAAGAAAAGCAATCTGAAGTAAAAAAAGAGCTAAAAGTAATCTGAGTGCAGAAAAATCATCCTTTATTGTCAACATTCGGATTGAATCCATCATGCATTTCACAAGTAAATAGTCCGTCTGAGTGCTGTGTCCAAACTTCAGGCCAGACAGAAAGCAGTTGGGAACTTGAAGATGTAGAGACCCTTCGCAGGTTTCATACATACCTAGACCGAGGTTTGAGATCTCCTCGAGCTTTTCTTGAGAACGTCAAGATATTGCCTTCGGAAGGTTCGAACCCTCACACTGTCAAGCGCAAGGACTTCATACTTTTCATAGAGGCTGGGATCCGTGTTTTCAGGTTCCCATGCAACGTTCACTTCAGAAACAGATTCAGCTTAGACTGGCGTATTTTGTCCAATTTCCTAATGTCACTTTCTACTTACTACGAATCATAATTAGAATCAATCGTCACGGCTGCGAAGGCTCTACTTCTTCCTGCACGAGTGTTGGACGGCATCGGTTTGAGACACCAGGTGCTAGATTTTACGAAGTCTTCAAGCCCAGCCTGCGTCCATGGAAGGTCAGTGCAGTGGTTCCAGTGCAGATAGGGCAACCATGATGCAGGTTCGCCCTCAGTTCCCAGACAGATGAGTATGCCACTCTTGTTGCCTTCCTACTTGTGGTGTTTGGTTTCCTCGTGAGAGGAAAGAGGGCTGCGCCTGCCAGGGAAATAGTGCTATACCAAGGCGACGCTGGCGAGTCCGAAACAGCGAGCTGCCCCGTTGGACTCGCACCCGTGAGAGAAATTAGATTAATATCGTGAGGGTCGATGACCCTCGTATCAGATATTAAACTGATAAGAACAGATACTACACTTGATCTTAGCCAAAAGGCCGAGAAAGGTATAGTTATCTGACGGGGCTCTCGAGTTTATGTATCTCACGAGAAGCGCCCAGGTTCCGCCTCTGTTATGGGTTTAACTCAACGATTTACTGTTGCTTATCTAAGACTTTGACTACAATCCCTTTCCTTACAGTAACCATATTCCTCGACGTGTTCTTGATTCTCTTTCTTTCCTGATACAGTATATGGATAACAAATCGTCGAGGTGCACAAGAGAAAGAAAACTCGGTTCAATTTTTTTTCACAGCCATCTTTCTCTATCCACACGCATAGATGGTCCATATCGCTCGACGTATTCGGGTTTATTTTGCCACATTCATGCATAAAGTCCTGCGCCAATTGGGGATTTTGCTCATCAAGTAATTGCTACAATTATCATCACTAACTCAGGGTGATTTCAAGGGTGTAAGCTCAATCCATCGCCTCTGGACCTGAGGATCTTTCCGTGGGCGTGAATCAGTTGCTGCGAAACTGCAAGCAGTTGTGAAGAGTTTCAAACAGCCAACTCAACTGTTGGGATGAAATGGGTGAATGAACATTTCAAGCTATTTATTATAAATGATAATCGATACGTGATAATGTTGGTCACTTTGAACTTGGTACCCACATTAATATGAAACCTGCAATCTTCGGTTGCCCTGAAGGGTTCACATACTAACTGATGTCCTTGACCTATATTATTCATCCTGGATCTAGGAAGAGTTGTAAGAGCAAGATTATGATCCTGGAACTAACTCATCGGGCTCATCATGACTAATTATCATGGCTATTAAGATTTTTATCGACCACGACTTCTAGCTAGGCTAGTGTTCGGAAAACGTCATAAACAATGCACATTATGGAGTTTCCAGCAATCACAAATATCAGGCTGGGATAGACGTCACGAAAACTCAAATATTTATGTTTATTATTTATATTTATAATACTATATTTCTGAGATACACTGAAGTGGACGTGCCATTACGGTTTGGTTAATTACACACAAAACATGTCAGGCAACGAAACCCTTGACATGCTGTAACCATCTTGGCAACTTTATTACTTTTTATGTTTATTATTTATATTTATAATACTATATTTCTGAGATACACTGAAGTGGACGTGCCATTACGGTTTGACTAATTACAAACAGAACATGTCAGGAAACGAAACCCTTGGCATGCTATAACCATCCTGGCAACTGGATTACTAGAGAAGATTATTTACACTGTTCAGGGATTGGGGGTCCACTTTGCCCTTGCCCCTGAGTCAGTCTCATGCGCTTCTTATCCTCGAAATAGTTTAGTTTCTACTGCAGTTCCGCAACTTCTTCTTGCAACTCCATAATTCTGCTCAGCGTCAACAAAATGGCCCCCGAACATTCGTATACCTGATCCTTCGTTCTCGCCTCGGCCTCGAAAGCCAACGAAGTCACTCTCTCGAAAGCCAATGAAGCTCGATTCTGGCAAGTCGTGCAATATCTTGGAGACATTGCTGACCCCGAAAATTCTATGCACATAGTAAAACTTCAAAGGCTGATCTGCAGGAAAGTAGAGTGCGAATACGCACTCGGCCGTGCACTTCCGTCGTAGAAATTTACATGCTGCGCAAGGCAAGCTCGAAGAGCTCGCTCCGCTTGTGTGGGACATCGTGTGAACTGGCGATACCTCTCGTGCGGGTCGACAATCTGAGGTATATTGCGACCATTGTGAACTATATGTAAAATCAAAATGATGTCTATTGCCCCAAATTTGGGTTCCAAAACGGTCCCAATTTTGTTTCCGAGCCGCATTAGAGTAATCAAGGGAGCGTTAGTGAGCGTCTTTCGTTGCACCGACATGTCTTCTAAGATGTTACAGATTTTAGAATAAAAATTTAGATGTGAAGAGAACTAATCTGCACTTCTAACGCATCTTGCGCTTCGTGGCTCAAGTCGGCGGCTGTTTATACAAAAAAACCAACTGGAAATTCTCCGAGCTGCGCGACGTGGCTCCCGTCGAAGGCTAACACTATATGTTCTTGTAGTGTCAGTCGCTGCCCAAGAATGATCTACCTATCACAACACTCTCGCCTCGGTTGTCTGATGTGTGCCATTACGAACAAGAATGGCCCATCATCAGCTTCGACTAAGCTCGTCCGGATTCACTTCTCCGTGTTCATTGATGTATGTGTTACGATTTGCTTCCAAAATTAAAGATAAGAGAAAATTTCAAAGATAGGTCGTTTTGTTGGTTACTTCAAATCTTGTACCCATATATATATGACACCTGAAACCCTTGGTTTCGATTACCGTGTGAAGTTGGCAAAACTACTGGTATCCCTGATATTACAAACTCATCTTAAATCTCGGACGAATGTTCAGAGCACATTCACTCTTCTTGAATCTCAATGAACTTGTATCAAAGAACATGGCTATTAAGATTTTGATCGAGCACTGCTTCTCATCTAATATTAGAAAATCGTCAAACACCATGCACATGAGCAATCTACCAACAATCAGGCTTTATCAGTCTCAGAAAGACTGAACAAAGTATCAAGTATTAATGTAAACAGTGAATCTTACTTCAGTAATAAAGTACTGCGATTGTTGAGTATGTTTCAAACACTTCCATAGGGTTTAGCTGGATTCTTCGACCCGTCTTAATTAGCTCAGAAAGACCTGCAACCATCTGCAAAAATTTATTTATTTTTTGCCGGTATTGAGACCGTATACATTTATGGTAAAACAGTGGAGATAGAGAATACAAGATTCCAGTCACCGAACAGTATGTGAAGTTTGGAAATCCGCCATAGGAGGAGGTGAGATGCAGCTCCAATCAGTATGGGCCTGTGAAAATAGGTGGACACGACCTGACTACCACTGGTGGGGGAGGAGGAGAAAAGCTTCTCTTGTGAAGTGGAATTGGATGTGTGGGGAACACAACAGGAGGTGGATGTGGTGACTCTGCAGCATCAGATTTCATGACAGCAACGGGAGATTTAGGAGGAGGACGGGTGTAGCTGGTGTCTGATGCTTCACGTCCGCTGCAGGCTTGTAAGAATTGCGTCCTTTGTTCCACTTCGAGGCGCAGTCGCTTCCTTCCTCTTGCTTCCTCTTTCCATCTCTGCTTGTAAGAATTGCGTCCTTTGTTCCACTTCGAGGCGCAGTCGCTTCCTTCCTCTTGCTTCCTCTTTCCATCTCTGCTACGTTGATGTCGGCCGTCTTTGTCATGATCCCCGACATGTCTATCAGCATCAATTCTGTATTTGTGGTCGTCGTCGTGGTTATGCTTCTCGTCCTTGCCGTGGTACTCTGTGCTGTTCTTCTTATAGTGCTCATCGTTGTGCTATAACTTGCGGTTGCGCTTACAGGCGCTTACAGTCGCGTTTTCTCCAGCTGAGCACCTCACCCTCCCAGTGATAACAAGTAGCGTCAGATCTCGCCGATGTAGACCTACTGATATGTACATTCTGGAAGCACCCCATGTTTGAATTGCTGTTCCCTCATGAGTGACCTCAGGGTTGCGCTTGCCACGAAGGCAGCAGGAGGCCACACTGGTGACTGCGATGCAAAGATGACTTTAATAACACGGCTACTATATTCCTGAGATCCACTGTAGTGTGCAACGTGCTATTACGGTTTGACTAATTACACACAAAACATGTCAGGAAACGAAACCCTTGGCATGCTAAAACCATCCTGGTTACAGCCCCAATTCCTCAACCGTCGTTAACGACGGTTGAGGGATTGGGGGTACCACTTGACCCCTGAGTCAATCGCTTGCGCTTCTTATCCTCCAAATAGTTAACTTGGTCCAGCAGTTCCTGAACTTCTCCTTGCAACTCCAAGATTCTTCTCTGCGTCAACGAGATGGCGCCCGAGCATCCGTAAACCGGATCCTTCATTCTCGCCTCGGCCTCGAAAGCCAACGAGGTCACCGCATCTGCTCGGCTCGATTCTGGCAAGTCCTGCAATATCTTGGTGACATTGCTGGCCCCGAAAATTCTATGCACATTCGCAAACTTCAAAGGCTGATCCGCAGGAAAGTAAGGTGCGAATACGCATTCGGCAGTGCACTTCCGTCGTAGAAATTTACATGCCGCGCAAGGCGAGCTCGAAGAGGTCGCACCGCTAGTGAGGGACATCGTGCGAACTGGCGATACCTCGCGTGCTGGTCGACAATCTGAGGTATATTGTGACCATTGTAAACTATATGTGTAATCAAAATGCGGTCTAACTCCCCAAATTTGGGTACCAGAACAGTCCCAACTTTGTTTCCGAGCCGCGTTAGAGTCATCAAGGGAGCAGGAGTGAGCATCTCCACATCTGTTCGTTGCACCGACATGTTTTCTAGGATGTTACGGACTTTAGAAAATAACCGAAAAATGTGAAGAGAACTAATCTGGGTCCAACGACACTGCACTTCCAACGCATCTTGCGCGACGTGGCTCAAGTCGGCGGCTGTGTATACCAAAAACAAACGGGGAAAATCTCCAAGCTGCGCGACGTGGCTCCCGTCGAAGGCTAACACTACAAGAACTTTCGAAGCCAGCATTAGCAACGCATCTCGGAGCTTCGACCGACACTCCTGCGACTCCCTCGCCCCGTCACTTGGAGATTGATTCCGGAAGGGCACGGCTCACTTGCGGTTGCGCTTACAGGCGCAACCGCAAGCTACAGGTTGGTTTGCTCCAAGTAAGGTTGCGCTCCTATTATTTCCTAGAAAGTGACATTAGGAAATTGGACAAAATATGCCAGTCTAAGATGAATCTGTTTCTGAAGTGAACGTGGCATGAGAACCTGAAAACACGGATCCTAGCCTCTACGAGAAGTACGAAGTTCATGCACTTTGACAGTGTGAGGGTTCGAACCTTCTGAAGGCAAAATCTTGAAGATATGAAGAAAATTTTAAGGAGATTTGAAGTGTGTGACGTGAACCTAGCAAAGCCAATCATTAAACTGGAAATAGACTCATTCATGATCAACTTAGTTTTTGTTTGTTCAAGGATGCTTTCAAAACTCGGTCTAGGTATGTATGAAACCTGCGAAGGGTCTCTCCATCTTCAAGTTCACAACTGCAAGCGCGCAATATGGCTGCTTTCTGTATTGCCTGAAGTTTAGACACAGCACTCAGACGGACTATTTACTTGTGAAATGGAATATGGATTCAATCCGAACCTTGAAAAAGATGGATGATATTTCTGCACTCAAACTAATTTTAGCTCATCGGCTTTAATCTGGAAATCTGATCCACTCGGAGGTCTGAGAGGTGACCACAGGCAGTAACTTTTATCAAGATCAATGCTTGAGAAGATGATGGGTGATCATCTACATTCTCTCTCTACGCGCGAGGTTTCCAACCAGAGATTTCAGACTGAGGGGAAATCATGAACTTGGCATCATTATCATCCAGGCAGCTTGTCGTCGCTCATAGAATCACGTGCTCAGATGAGAATCAAAAGCAAAGCTGCAGCACGGAAAATTATCGTGCATCGATCGGCCAAAGGCGAAGAGTGGGAACAAAATCTATCCAATATCGATCGAAAGCTTCTGCACTTGTTACTTATGCAGCGGGTCTTGCATTAACTTCTCATGATAGTACAGGGCTAATGGAAGTGACGTAAATGCACGTGGATATACATCTGAACACATGTCTCGAATTTTCTTCACATCTCCAATAAGCCTCCGTCTGGTTAGGAAACCATGGTGCTCGAACCACTTTCTTCGTTAGAGTCTTAGACTTTTGTCAGGCATGTGCTCCCATCTACAGGGGATTGAAAGTTGTAGGTTATATTTAAATGCGCACAACGTCCCTCCGTATTCTACGGTAGCTCTGATGATATGTCGTTCAATTTCTCTGTAATTCATCTTTTTCACGGGAATTTGGGCCCGGAGAAGTGGCTACAGATATGGATCTGATAACATGGCAGGGCGTACTGTGTTGGTACGAAGTTACAATCGAATGCAAGTGCAGTTGCGGTTCACGTAGTTCAGAGTTGAATAGTTCTGACTGACGAAGTTGTCTTGCATTCGCCCATCTGTCATTAACCGAGTGAGACTATATTTAGCCTACGTCCGAGATCTTGCCCGCGCCCGCAGCCGGGATCACCGGTAATCAAATCACTTGACAGAACTGCCCATGGGCTACTTCAAATCACTCGATAGTTCGAACAGGAACCCAACGATACGCCATGAGTGCTGTACAGGAGACCCGATATGACGGCGCCCGTGCTTTCGAACTGAAACACGGCCTCATGAGTTCCCAAACTCCAAGAAGAGGCCGAAATATTTCTCCCGATAATCTCCTCGTCGGGGCCGAATATAAGACGGTCCTTTTCAGAGATTATTTGCAAGAAATCCTCGAGCCGAGCAAAAGTTACGGCCATGAAGCAGTCCTGCCAATCCCAATGCTCAGGATTTTAGTCCATATCACTCCATATACAAAGGAACCGTCCAGAACCGTCCCGGCTATAGCTTCTGAATGGCGTTGAGAAGCGCGCTCGCTGCCTTCGCAATTTGGTAGCCAGCGGATCGTACTCGACAGCACGTGCTGACTTGCACTTGAAGTCGGAGTTCTTCTTGGAGGCCGGAAGGTGCTGTACCGGATAGCATGATGTCCATGGATAGCTCTTTTGCACCGAGAGATCTTGGAAACATCGTACTTTGAAATTCAATTCAAATAAAACTTCTCTTGGCAGTTGCAAGAACGGCATCTAAATGCGTAAAATCAAATGTCGAAGGGCGATGGGATGAGTTGTCTTGTGAATGAGGGCAAATGCGCTTGACGTTCAAGAACCGATGTGTGGTGTGATGGTATCACCCTTTGAGTTGTTAGCGGCTCTTTACATTTTCACAGCCATCCTCGGGTTTGTCATACTTTTGTGGGTGGAGTTTCAGGATACGTTTCCGCGAGAGAAGTGATCTTCCGCGAGAGGAGAATAGCGTAGCACGAACACGTCTTAGAAGATGTCTCTCGTTCGTAGCTTTAGTAAGTGGCTGCTCAAAGGCAGGACAAAAGAAAAGCACGATGGGGTTCAATCTGAGGACATGGAGGCTAATCATGATGTGGCATCGACACCTGCTGAGCTTCAGAGAAAACGATATCGAAAATTTTTCGCGTCCTTCGGTTGCGCTTTGCTTGGGATTCTGCTGTTCATTTTGTTCACATTTGGGTATGTCGAGCTCACGACAAAACTCCTGCGTCACCTTTCGATGCCGAAATTTTTGTTTGATAATGGTGGAGCAAAGAGTTGGCATCGAAACGATTATCCTGTGAGAGGTGACAATGGTTTGCCGAGCATTACTAAACACGAGCTGCCTGTTCTTGCCAGCCACAAGATTGACATTAGTTTCCGTCCAAAAAGGCCAGAATTACTACAGCATCCACCAGTGAAAACGTTCTATGATCCGGTAAGATCTGTCCTCACATTGCCTGGGCAATTCATGAAGTCCTCGTTTCTGATGATGCTGCTCACCTATCTCGCTGGTTATGATGTATAACTGAGAATAGACTTTTTAATCGGCACATGGTGCAAAATTTGAGAATGCAGTATGGTTAACAAGCATGGCAATTTATAGTAGCTCCAGTTATTCATCTCTGTTTCTCGAACTGACCAGAGGGCTTTAAGACCGAATGAAATGCCTAACGCTACGACCAATCAACAACAACGGTTTCTTCTTTCCAGGAGCAGAGAGAACTTTCCGGTCAGTACATGGGAATAGGTTCAGATGATGTATATGGGAGTCCTGTGCTGTAGTGATCTCATTTATAGAAGCGGGTGATGTGTCATTTATGTTGTGAACTACTGATCCTCTAGATTTGTATAGAATGAAGAACAGGCTGAAAATGACGTCTTGTCTTGCATAGTTTTAAATCTTCTGTTAGGAGAAGATATTTCTCTACTAGCCGTTACATTTGCCTTCGTGAGCACGGAGTGTCAGTGACAATTTTTCAAACTATATCTTACTGATGTCTTTAGATGCCTCTCACACAATCAGTTCTTTGCGTGCAGAAAGAAGAGTCTGCGGAACCAGTGCATCAGGAGAAGGCTAAACTTGTCAACAGTCAACAAAAGGTAGCTCAAAGAATCTACATGGAGCGCAGGCGTCCAAATCGCCACATTCCAGTAATTCGGTACCATCCCAAGTATGTGATAACCAACACCAATGACGACTTCGATGATCATGACGAGATTATCATGTGAAGCCGTTTGCCTTTGCGAGCCGGGTTGTCTGAAGACGTGACGTATGTGCTCCAAATTTCATCACTTCATCTCAAGCTGGAAAACTTTTGAATTCTCACCTCTCGTGGGACATACTTTCTTTAAACAGGGCTCGAATTCAAGTACAATTAGTGTAGACATCGTCTTGTATGCTCGAGTAACTTAGTTTTGTCTCTACATCATCTACATTATGCATTGTAAAAATGAATTTGACATTTGGGAATTTTATATGAATTCATTACACTTCAAACTTCGCATGGAAAATCACAACTGAAACTTCTGTGCGAAAGTTCTGAAATCTGTTGCAAATAAAAAGTAAAAATGAGTTAGCGAATATCTGAGAATTTTATCAGATTATCTTATCAAGGTTGCTGGATAATTTCATTGCCTTGAGGTGAAGTTTGAGTATTTCTTTAGGCAGCATTGTTTGAACCAATGATTTTACTGTGAAGCGCAACCTACAGATTACTCTAGTACGCTTCTAATAGTCTAATAGATATAATAACCCTAAACCTTGGAAGATGTGTATTTTCACCTAAACTTTTGTCATAGAGAAACATTTTATCTTTTCTAGGACAATGCTTCTCTCATAAGAATATTGATTTTATCTCTTATGGAAAAATGCTTCTCCCATAGGAGTATAGGTTGAGTTTACTAGTCTACTTAGAGGTTACGGAATTAATAAAGAAGGAAGAGATTAGTGTTAATCTGACATAAGTCTTCATCTTTCTTCTATAGGACTCTTGGTGTACTAGCAATCTCAACCCATTTTTTTCTTGGAAAAAGAAGCATGTAAAAGTGTCAATGTTTTTTAACCTCAAATCTATAACACTACATCTACCATGGATTCTAGCTAAATGCTCATCACTATAAATCTTAAAATTTAAATACTTAATCTGGTTCTGCAATCTATCTCATATATCTTTCTTGGAATGACTTGTAAACGTACATATTAAATTTACATCACAACATTTCTAAAACGATGGTAGACAAAATGTTCAAGCCCTAGTGTTTCAACTCTTGCAGGGACAATATGGTATTCATCACTGTATGGAGTAAATACAGTCCATATATTCTTGAAGCTTCAAAAAATCTATAAGTGCAGGATGAAAATTTTTACAAGCAATGAAGAATGACCCTCTTGCCATAAATCTATTTTCATTCTGAAAATGAAGTGAAATTTTCATTAAATTCAATCTATCCATACATCCACATGCACTTCTACATCCAAGATAGTTATCAGAACAAGTTCCATCATATGTAACCTCGTAGTTTACGAATATATTTTTTGGATGTATTGAATAATGACGTGTGCACTAATCTTAGGAAAGGGGTAAATACTCAAAAAATACGAAACCAACAAGTAAAATTAGCGTTATTAGGTGATCCAAAGCTACAAATGGCACCTTCATAGAGTTTTGGGTAGTATTTTCACCCCCTTCCAAGCCACTAGACTACCTCCGTAGCTCTAATTCTGAAACATGTCAAAAATATTGAGGTGAGTATATTTTATTCTTTTATAGAAACAAAGTCTAGCAAGAATATAGCGTAAAAGTAAGCATAAGCAATTTTAAAAACTCCAACAACAACATGAACAATATCTTACTCGCCGAGAGATGCCTCGGCCCCACATTGACTAACTGATTAATCTTTGACATTACTTTGCAAGGGCCATAAGCAAGCCTTTGCTAACCTGGCATTTGCAGAATCTGTCATAACTACTATATTATGACATCACTAGAATTTTATTTATGACAAATATGAGCACTGTATCATATTGCTTGAATTATTTTAAAACTGCTTACAATGCATGATGCCCTCGAGTGATAGATCCATTAAGTACAATCTGTACTCGTCTTTTTCCCAACTAATCACTGGAAAAATCACTCTCCACACGCGTTGTACCAGGATATACACTAGCAAATCCTCCACCAAATGTGCACAATTTGGGAAATCTACTTTCAAGAGCACTCCATGCTTCATGAAAATCTATAGATTCCGACATTTTATCCATAATGTCACGGATTATATATTCTCTTTGATAAGTAGTCCTCAGTTCTTTGAATTCTTGTTCCAAGCTATCAATGTACTCGTTGGTGAATTTCTTCTCATCATAGAGATCAAAATCTAATTATCAGATCCACGAAGCTTGATGCAAGCATGGTCACAAACTAGCGAGTAAGACATGGGGATAAAGTTGCTGCTAGTGCATTGTCACTATCCCTTTCTGGCTTGATTGCATGTATTACTGCTGCAAGACTAACTATTAGATTTTCAACTTAACAAACCACAACATCTCAACTTGACACAAGCTATCGAATGACATAGCAATGAACAAACCACACTCTCGAACAAAATGCACGACAACATTTTTGGCAATCCTGTAAAAACTGTTACAACATCAAATATCTTCATCTTGTGTAATCATCTTTAGTTAGTTAGAACTCAAGTAGAGATTACTTTGAATATTGATGTAGATACTTTAGTGTGCACTAGTCATAGCTGCCACGTCAGCGATCCGCGCACTTGGTAGATACAGAGTGGATGTGTTAGTTGACAGTGCCACGTCAGCAATCCGTGTGCTTGTAGGTAAGGAATGAGTGTGTTAGTTAGTGTGTTAGTTGGATGCGCCACGTCAACGATCCGTGTGCTTGTTAGGGTTGTCCGCCACGTCATCCATCCACTAGGAGTGAGATGGATGGTGGGGATTAGATCTTATCACCTTGTACTTGTTGGTGAGAGCTATATAAGGGAGAATGTGGTAACCCACTTTTTGTTTTTTGTCGAAACTAAAACATTTTTGAATAGTAAGTACCGCGGCAGCAGCTGTAAATAGTAATCGGTACGCAAAACCAGAGTAAAAAGAGGATCGAGGATAGTCAAGAGGTTTTGGGCTTAGGCCACAGTGGGACGCTTGGGACGGAACGGGCGGTTCATGCTGCAGGATCCGCTTCGAGCACCTTCGGCGGTAGATCACTCATAACTTTCTCAATTCGTAACGCTTTGAGTTGCTTCGGGTCTTGTTGGAAAGAGCTCGACGCGCTGGTTCTAACGAGCGCAAGAACTTGTGAAACGGATGAGAGATCACTGAGTTATGAGTGTCGGAAGTTACTGATGGGGGGCCTTCGGCGGTAGAGCGACTTTGGCGGTACGCGTTTGGCGGGAGAACCGCCGGAAGATGCGCCTTCGGCGGTAGACGCCTTCGGGTCAACGCCTTCGGCGATGCGGAAGAGTGAATCCCTCATAACTTTCTCAATTCGCAACGCCTCGACTTGGTTAGGGTCTCGTTGGAAAGAACTCGACGCGTTGATTCTAACGAGCTCAAGAACGCTACGAACGGAGGAGGGCTCCGGGAGTTATGAAGGTGGCAAGATACTCAGCTTTCCGCCTGCGCACAGGCGAAGAAAGTTTTGTCCTATGCGCGTAGGAAGGAAGTTTGCCTGCGCACAGGCGAATTAGGGTTTTGACGTAGGCGCGAAGTTTGACTACGCACAGGCGTTCGCCTGTGCACAGGCGCTACGGCGTCGGCGGGAAATCCGCCTTCGGCCCTAGAAATGCGCCTTCGGGGTTGGAACTTGTACGGCACCAGCTTAACAGCGCGGAAGGACGCGGACGCCTGTGGATAGGCGGACGGCCTGCTGGTAGGACGCGGACGCCTGCGGATAGGCGAACGCCTTCGGCGGAAGAGTAAAAACCGTCATAACTTTCTCAATACTTAACGGTTTGACTTAGTAAGGGTCTTGTTGGAAAGAGCTCGCGACGCTCGTTCTAACGAGACCAAGAACTCTTGAAACAAATAAGGCGTCACTGAGTTATGAGCGTTGAAAGCGGCTGTCATGGTTAGGAGAGAGGCCTTCGGCGTTAACATATAGAGGAGCCTTCGGCGTTAACAGTTAGAGGGGCCTTCGGCCCAAGGCGGCCTGCGCGTAGGACGCGTGGGACCCACAGTCCTCGGATTTTGGAGAAGGAATTTTGGCCTAGGTTTAGAGATCTTGCGGGGCCCATATCTTTGCGATGGACGGTCGGATGGGTCTGACGTTTTGTGGGGCCGTTGATCTCGGCCGGCCACGCATGCCTGCAAATTTTCAGCCTCAAATCTTGGATGGAAAGGCGCTGGCGGCTCTGTACATTAGGCTTTGGATTAAGATTTAGGGTTAGGGTTAGATTTCGGTTGTAAGTTAGAGGGGAAGGCAGCCGCCGACTCCTCAGGTGTAGGATCTGTTGCGACTCGCACCATGGCGTAGTGCAGTGTAGTGCTAGTTAGGACTTAGAAGGTATAAAGTAGTTCAAGGCGTTTTGCCTTGGGTTCTTTCCCAATTTCGGAAGTGCAGATCAGGAACTCATTTTCTCTGCGTGTTTGTGTCCTTAGTTCTGTCACCACGCAAGGGGAGCTACAACTTGGCGTTCCTCATTTTGTAGCTGAAGGTCTTCGGCCGAATGTTCAGAGCTAGTACATTGGTTAGAGACTTGAGTAGTTCGGATCTACACCTGCGGGTGATTGCCGATGCTTAGAGCCAATGACTAGTTAGATACTTGAATAGTTTTGCCCCTACACCTTCGAGTGTTTGTTCCTGATTGTACTCCTTCGGGATTTTTCCCTGAATGCCAAAGTGAAGTTTTGCTACTTCGTGTAAGCCTTGGTTGTAAATTCAAGTTACGCTGCAGCAGGTGCCTTTGGGGTAACCCCTGTAGTATTTCTGGGAATGACAAGTGCCTAAGAATTCAAACTCTTCAATAGACTGTTATGGTGTTTTACTGGAATGTTTCTCAGTGAGTCCTTCAGTGCGGACTTGTGTTCTCTGCGTGTTTTGTGAGTTGAGAGTGTTGTTCACCGCGTATGAGTGACTTCGATCCGAAGTAGGCAGTCCAACCCGGGTTTCCTACGCTAGCAGCAAGCTAGTGGAAGTGTTGTAAAAGCCGGAGTTGGAAGTCACTACCCGCAGCTTCGCTGAGTGTACTCTTGAGAGACCTTCCCCCTGAAATCTTGAGTAGAGGTCCTAACGGATCTCTGGGTTGTGTTTCTGTAGTTTCAGGTGTGTGTGTGTGTGTGTTACGCTGCACTGTGCGACCTCTGAGTGCGCTCCGAGTGGACTCTTGCAGTTTTTCTGGGAGTGACAGTTGCCTGAAAATTCAAACTCCTCAATAGTCTGTTAAACGTGACACTTTGTACCCTGTGTGTTCCTCTGTCCTTGTGGGATCGACCTTTCTACCACTATATTGCAGTTTTAGCCTTTAGTGGGTTATTACATGGAGTC